TTATTGAAATAAAGAAACGAAAATTTGTACTAGTACTCGTTTACTGAAGCGTTGTGCGCGTGGTGGCAACCTCCCGAGACGAAGATGACTTTGTGGACTGCCACGTCATCTATGTTGCGTGTGACTAGACTGCGTCGTAGGTCGTGGTTGCATGGCGTGGACTTTCTCGTTGAAGTATTCGCTTTACATCGCGAACCTGGAGATTAGGTCTCTCTTCACCACCAAACAAACAAGTAGACAGTTGCCTAAAACAAACGACCGTAGGAATAGTATTTCTGCTTCCCTTACGTACATGCCTTTGCGCTTACCGGTAATGTAAGCACAAGCGACACCGCTCACTCGCGCCCGGCGCTTCTTGACCGAGTATGGCTTGGATATACGGACCGGCATCTCGCAAATAAAAGCTCGCGAGAACGAACGGCACGTCGGGTATCGCGGCCAGCGCCTCCAGTAGAGCCCAATTTTCTTCGCCGCTTTCGTAACTTGGCAGACTGATCTCTTCCACGTGTCGACCCGCCGCAACGAGCTCGTCGAGGCAACGATTGATTTCACACTCGGTGATACTTGGCGCAAAAATGCACGTAAGCTTGGGCAGTCGCGGCGCCGCTGCAAGCACCTCCCTCACGCTACGCCAATCGAGCGCATGGTCGGTGAGTTCGAGCAATTTGAGGTGAGGACAACTTGTCCCCAATGCTTCCATGATCAATCGCATCGCTTCGGCGTCCACGGCAATATGAGGTAGGTAGAGCTCGGTCAACGACGAGAGCTGCGAGAGACCGGCGGCCAGCATGCGCACGTGGTCGGCACCGGTACGCGTCCGCAGTACATCGAGCTTTTTGAGCTGCGAGAGATCGGGGCCCGTCGATGGCTCTGATGCAATTTCGCCAAAGTAGTCGCAGCAGAGGTACTCGAGCCGCGTGCGGCGAAGTGCGTGGCGGAGGTCGGCCCAAATCGCATCGTCCGGAAGCAGCTCGTCCGCGTTGTCGGGGGCCCATTCCAATTTAGAAAGGCTGGCCGGGAGTTGACGGCCGTGAAAACCACCGACTTCGACACTGCTGAGCCGGAGCTGCTCAAGAGTAGAGCTCTCTTGGAGGGCGTCGCAGAAAGCGAGGACGCCAGATTCATCCATCGAACAAATCCCATGGAAAATGAGACTCGTGCGTGGAGACGCAAGGAGCCACGTAGCGAGGTGATGGCCTGCCCGAGAAATGGCTTGGTCGTGGCTATGGCTTATAGTCAGAGCGGGCGCCGTCGAGCAGAGTAGTGCTTGTAGCAAGGCGTCCATCACTGGTGTATCGGCACCGGGCAAGTATAACGTTGTGTCCAGTCCGCACAGTGATGTGCATTGGCGCAGAAGCATACTCAAGGCCTCGGTGTCCAGCGGCAGCCACGTTGCCGATTTGATCTCGAGTTGCATGTATTTGAGCGCTGGCCCCAAGGGCGGCACAAGATGCCGCAAGTGGCCCATGCTTCGAAACGTCGCATCGATACGCCGGCCCAGAGGCAGCGTCGCTTGCAGAAGCGTGATCACTTCGGGCGAGTGGTTCGCCTCATGGAGGTAAATGGTGGGCCAGCGATCAAGTCGAATGTCCATGCGCGAGTCGCGATAGAGCGTCATAAAGGCTCGCAGCGCCGGCGTCCAGAGATTCGCTGGCATCGCATCGAGGAAGGTGGCAATGTACTGCGGCGCTGGCAGCAACCGAGCGATGATCTCGATGAGACCTGGTTGCAAGAGTCCGTCCGAGGCCGGTCGCCTGGCCTTGCTGCGTGGCGACTCTCGTGGTGCCATTGCACTTGCGTTGGACGATGATGTTGTGCCATTTATTCTATTTCCAACGCCCTCTTTTTGCCTAATATCTAGCATATTGTATGTACTTTTTTGAAAAGAGCAAATCCTGCAGCCTGGCAGGCCAATCAGAAGATAAGAAATCACTTGGTTCAAGCCAATCAGAGAAGCGTTGACACTGGCAGATCGCGAGCTTCTCATTCGCGTCAAACTCGACAAACCATGGCACAAGCGTCGTAGTGATGTCGTTGAACGCAGAGAGCATCTCGTCAATGCGCAAGGCGCCCACCGGTCCACGGCCGGGTACAGGTTGGTGAGGTGACCGACGTAGCGGGCTATCGCGTGCGACTGGCCGAATTCTTCGCCGTCCACATTGAGCGTCGGCACTTGCTGGAACGGGAAGTGCGGTTTGCGCGCCAAGAACGCCTCGGCGCTGAGACGCTCGTCTTCGAACAGAATGTTGTTGAGGAAGAGCACGAGACGCGCGATCTCGGCGCGCCCCGTAAAGTCAAAGTACGTGAGCTTGAGGCTGGGAAATGTCATCTTGCGCTGTGAGTCCATTCAAAAGTGAGCCTGGTCGTAGGCGCCGCAGTGTCGATTGCTCGGACGCCACTGACGTATCATCGAGTAGGATCTGGCTTGTCTAGCGTATTATGCAACGGATGGCGAAATGGAATTGCGAATGGGCAGTAGTCGCTCCTCGGCAACCAACGAACACCAAGAATCTGCGTTCGGCCAAGTTCCCCCAACCATCGACTGCCGCTTTCTATCGACATGGACGATATTGTACAACAGTGTATTGCGATTCGACGAACGGGTAAACACAAGCTGGAGCAGGTCGAGGATGCCAAACCATTCGACTTTGACGTCATAAATACCGTCTTTTCTCATTTCCGAGGGTCTCAGCAATCACCTTTACCTGCAGCCTTGCAAGCGACTCGTCGTCCTGGCATGCGTGCCGGTATCGAGCACCATCGATTCTACAAGTCTCGGGCTACTCGTCAACGATCGAGTGCTTGTCGTGCAGGTCGCATCCCAACTTTTTCGGGGCATTTGTCGCTTTCGGATGTTCGGATCTGCAATAGGGTTGAGGTTAAAATACACACAGTGGATCTTAGTGTCTACTGCTATTACGAGTTATAAAACTACTTACACACACATGTGCGTCGTCGCGCTCATGTCATAGCGCTACGATCTTAGGCGCGGCAGCCCGTCTGCCACCGCCACTCGTAGTGCTGCATCGCGCTCACATAGTGCACAAGGGCGGCGAGGACGACGCAAATGTGCCACAGCTGGTGCGACGAAAACCACACGTCAAACGTGCCAGGGTAGAGCCGCTCGGGGAACCGCGTGCCGTAGAAGACAGCGCCGAGCACGTAGAGGCCGCCCATGGCCAAGAGCGGCTTGAGCACAATCTGCACGTGGTCGTCCATGAGCCCAAACTCGAAAATGAGGTGCGCGATGGGCACGACGCCGAAGAAGCCCATCGAAAGAAACACCGCCGAGCGCACGCTTGGGTACTTGCCAAAGGCTGGGATGAGCGACGCAGCAAACGAGCCAATTGCGAGCACCGAGACAATGCCAAGGTACGCGTTGAGCGCCCACTGGTTGCAGTAGAACGAGTAGTAGATGACGGGAAAGAACGACCCGGCAATCATGAGGATGATGCCGGCGTAGTCCAGTTGCGACAAGAGCAGCGACGCGCGCGGGCTCTGCACAAAGAGGAGGTGGTACACCGAGCTCATCGTGAGGCACACGACGGCGCTCACGATAAAGACAGCGATGGGCCAGAGACCGACGACCGACGACGCAAGCACCGACGGGTGCAGCTCCGAGAGGACGTGCAAGCCATTGTAGACGCTGTCGGTAAGGCCGTGGAACTCGCGCAGCATGTACTGGACCGAGGGGTACGCCTTGGGTGTGTCGAGCTGCCGGAGAAACGAGCTAAAGGCGTCGACGCGGAGGCGGAGCTGCGTCTTCATGCGGTGGATCTGGTTGTACGACGCGACCCACTGCAGCAGCGTCTGGTCGTGCGGCGCAGTCGCGTTCGTGCTCGGGTGCAAGCGCGCGTGCAAAAGCGTGAGTTCCTTGTACAGCGTCTCCATTTGGTCCGAGAGAAGGTGCGAGACATCGCCGGCGTGCGACTCGAGGAGCTGGTGGAAGCGCTGGAGGCTCGGGATCTGTGCGATCGTGTGGCCGAGGATCTCGCTCGCCACGTGCATGCGTCGGACAACCGTCTCTTGGTGCACGGCGTCGACCGTGTAGTACGACGTGTGCTCCTTCGTAAAGAGCGCAGTCGAGGCAATGTTCTTCTCAAAGAACGCAAGCGTGTGATGGCCGCCTTGGAGGTACAAGACGTCGGGCGCCACGACTTGGGCGGTGGACGCTTCGAGCGGGATCTCCATGCAAAAGACGCTCACGAGGAGGCAGACAAAGATGAGCGAGCCCACAATGTGCGTCCAGACGTTCCACGTCTCGTTGTGCAGCTCAAAGAGCGACTGGAGGCAGTGCGAGGCCGAGTAGTTGACGCGGTAGCCTGACCGGATGTACGCATTGTCGGCCAAGAAGGAGAAGCCCTGGTCGTGCAGCACATGGTAGCCGGCGAGCCGCTTCTCCATCGACGTCATGGCCATCGGCGCCGGCGTCGGTGCATCGGCCATCGTTGTTGGCGCAATGCCCGTCGGCGTCGGCGCAGCGTCCATCGTCGGTGCCATCGTCGCCATGCTGCTGCTTACGTCGACGTCGTCAAGGAAGATTGGAACTGAATGCCATCGCTGCCCACGCCGTTGATTATCCGGAGGATCCGCATAGACAGCCAATCACATTGCGGGATTCGTCCCAGCGGAATCTGGCAGATTCAGATGGTCCTGCTTGTGGGTGGTGGACGTCTTGCAGTTTGTATCGCGCGAGAGGCTGGGAGCGCGCGACGTCGTTGACTAATTCGTACCAAGTACGAATTAGAGGCTTGTCGGGTCTCGTGCAAGCGTCTATTCGTACTACCGGCTATGGCACCGCCCTCGCGCGGCCGAGACGAGCCCCACCGGAATCAGGTTGACGCGACCTTGGGCGTGACGCTGGCCTGTCGCGCGGTTGCATACGCTGCCGTCTTCTATAGCGTAAAGATCTAGCTCGTAGTTGCAATTCGACAAATTCGCCCACGCACAGCAGCTCGGTGGGGCTGTGGCGCTAGAGCAGGGCCTCGACTGGAGCACCGCGCCAGCGTTGGACGTACGACTTCGCACGCTCGTCGCGGTGGCATCTTGGGTATGTCCCACCCTGTCAAGTTTCTGATCGACACTACTGGTACGGTTTGCAGCGTTGAAGATGCAGCCATCTCGAGAAGGCTCAGGCGGCCGGCTGCCGCCGAACACCGCGCTTCGTCCTCCTCATCTGTGCCAGCGACAAGGTTCTTGAACGAGCGAAGACGATGGGTGACGCAGCTGTACGCCGACGACACGTGCATAGAAAGGCTCGTTTGTCGGGCGATCGTGGATCGTGGGTCGCGTCCGTGGTACCGGTAAGGACACTCGCACACAATCGCATCGTCCATCGACTTTGCCTCTTTAATCGTGGAAAGCGCATTTTTGGTGCAATTGTTTTGGCGGGAAACACCAAATTTGAGCCCGATCGTTTTGGATCGAAACGGTTTCAGAAAAAGTGCTGTGGACACGTGGTGATGGCGCCGATGGCCGAGACACGGTGGTTCTACGCCAACGACGACGACGTCATTCACGGCCCCGCGACGCTGGAGCTTTTGCGCAATCTTTGGCTCCGAGGCGAGCTCCAGACCGACACCATTGTCTGGCGTCTCGGGCTCACCGAGTGGCTCTCGATCGGGGAGCTTCCGTCGCTCCTCTCGTGCTTGAACACAAAAGATGCGATCCATGCGAGCCTCCTCAAGCGGTCGGCGTCTCTAAAGCCCATTGCCCACGGCCCACGTATCGTTGTACCGCAGCGCAAAGCGCAGTCGCTCGTCACGACGCTCGTTCCTACGCGCTCCAGTAACCAAGACGACGACGATGACGACATTGCGAGATCTAGTCCGCTTCTGTCCGCAGCAGCGTCCGAGGTGTCGGTGCTTTGCCCAGGATACATCGCAAGGTCGCTTTGTACCGCCCGCTGCGTACGCCATTCGTAGCTTTATGAGATGAAACCAAACGCATTGTGTAGCCAGCGACACCCCACGCCCACTCGACGCCCGACGGCCGATCGTTCACGCTGGATCCCGTGTACGTGCTCGCTACTTCATTGCTTCAGCGATGATAAGGCTGGTTCATAGAGCGCAGCGACTGAGCTTGATAGCCTCCACCCAAGGGCCGACATACCTCTGGACCCAAGACGCCGCGACTGGCTACGTGCTTCGGCGCGTTGTCGATCGTCCACGCCCGGGTATCGCCACAGTACTTGGCGACGGCGAGCATGGGATTATGGAAGACGTATCTGTGCTCGATGCCAAGGCGCTTGTCACGGACGCCACTCTCCGCCGCAACGTCGACGACCTCGCTACGCTAGCAGCGTACGATACCGAGCCCACGGTGCTGCACGTGCTTCAGAAGCGCTTTCTCGAGGTACTTGTCGCCTTCACGTTTTCGACAGCACCATCGTCCTTTCTACAGGGGCGACTGCACACGTGGGTGGGCTCGTCAGCGTCGATGCTCGTGGCATTGCATTCCTTTGGTGCGCCACCGACGCCACCATCGACTACAAACGCCTCTGGCATCGCACCCAGTCTTGCGGCCATCGCGCAGGCGGCGTTCGACGCTCTCCTTCAGGACGCCCGAAACCAGGTGCGTTGTCTGCATTCTAAACAGACTTTTTGTCATTGGAGTGCAGGTGATCATTGTCAGTGGTGAGAGCGGTGCTGGCAAGACAACCGCCGCAACACGCCTTCTCGCCGCGCTCACGAAACACCACGGGTCGGCCTACGTCCTCTTGAACGTTCGTGAAGCTAATTACGGGCGCAGGTCGATGGGGCTTGGTGCGCACGCAGCGCTGGCCGCGTTTGGCCACGCCAAGACGCCTCGCAATGACAGGAGCAGTCGCTTTGCAAAGCTTGTGACGTTGCATGTAGACCCGTCGACGCGCTCGGTGGTCGGCGCGTCAACAACCTGCTACCTCTTGGAGAAGGCGCGTGTCGTGCGCCAAGGAACAGGCGACAGCAACTATCTGATTTTCTACCAGCTTCTCTGCTCCCAACGCGCGGCTGACTATGGTCTCACGCCCTTTGGCGTTGGCGACTACGCGTACCTGACCCATCATGTCGAGGTTGGTGCCTCAAGCCCGCTAACCCTCTCCTACCAGGTTTCCTGTAGGTCGACCGCGACACGGTTGCCTTTGGAGCGCTGGACGCAACGCTCGATGCGTTGCGCGCCGTAGAAATTCTCGATGTCGACTGGCTTCTCGGTGTCGTGGCGGCGATCCTACACCTCGGCAACCTCGTCTTTGTCTCGGACAATGAGACGGGCTCAAATGTACGTCATCAAACTCCGCTACGAGGCATCCGTTTGCATGTGACGATGCAACAACGACGACATAGGTGGCTAATAGTGCCGCGTTGCTTGCCGCTGCAACGCACTTACGTGTACCATCCGATGCGTTGCGTGACGCGCTCTGTGTCACCGTGCTCACGATTGGCAGCAAACTCGAGCGGCAATGCATGCCGCATGGCCCCGAGCGCGCGGCATCCGCGGCCGCTGCGATGGCCAAGGCGCTCTACGTGCGTCTTTTCGAATACATCGTAACGTGCTGCAACGCGTCGGTTGGTGCGTCGCCCGACGCGCTGCGCTTGAGCGTTCTCGATGTCGTGGGCTTCGAGTCGCTGCCGCTGAACGGCCTCAACCAGCTCTGTATCAACTACACGAACGAAGTGTTTCAGCAGAAAATGCAAAGTGAGATTTTGGCCGCCGACCTTGCGCTGTACGCACGGGAGGGTGTCGCCGCCCCGTCGATGGCCTTGCATGACCACCAAATCGTCTTGGACCTTCTGGACAAGGTATTGGGCTTTCACTGCAAGGGCGTCGCTAAGGCAATGGTGTAGAAGCCCGACGGCATTTTGCATCTGCTGGAAGAGCAGGCGCGTGTGATGCGGGGCAGCGATGCTCGACTGGCGCAGCAGGTGCGTGCGCTCGGGTCGCCCGCTCTCGTTGCGCAGAAATCGCCGATGCTGTTTGGCGTGCGGCATTACGCCGGCGTCGTCACGTACTCGGCCGACGGTCTCACCGAGGGCAACAAGGATACGACCGCGCCGAGCTTCGCCGATTTCTTCGCGCAAAGGTCGGCTCCTCCGCGTGCCACGTCATACTAAGGTGGCGTGTTTTTAGCACGCTACCAGCAACCTTCCAGGCGCTGTTTCAAGCCGCCCCGGCGCGAACGCGGTCGCCGGTGGCAGATTTTCGCACGCAACTCGCGGCGCTGCGTCAAGATATCGCACTCTTGCATCCTCGCCACGTCTGCTGCATCACTCCCAGCCGCACTCGCGCGACGGCAACGTTCGAGCCGTTGGTCGTCCTCGATCAGCTGCGTGCGGCTGGCGTCCTCGCTGCCGTCAATCTCTCGACGACGGGTCTTGCCTACCGTGTGCCGCACGCCGCCTTTTTCAACCTGTACCAGCGCTTGGCGCCTGGGGCGCGCGACTGCAAAGCCCTTTTGCGCGACCTCGGCTTGCGCAGCCACGCGCAGCTTGGTGCGTCGCTCGTCTTGTACGACGCGTCGGCCTATGACCACCTCGAGTTGCTGCGAGCGCTTCACCGCACCGCGTCGGTCGTGCAGGTGCAAGCGGTGTGGCGGCGCCGCCTCGCACAGCAGTATGTCTGCGCCATTCGCGCGGCCGTAAAGGAGCCTGCCACCGCGATCGAGGTATTGCGGCCCTGGCAGACGCTATTTCCAGCAAACTTGCGCCAGCAGCCAGCACCTGCCAAGGCAACGCCGAGTGAGAAGAGCAGTCCGCCGGTCGACGTGGCTGTCGAGCCAGAGTGCGACGAGGACGACGAGAACGCGCTCAAGCAGCAGCTCACCAAAGCCGTCGAGGCCAACGACCGCGCCGCCGTGATTGGTCGGTCGATCGCACTCCAAAAGCGCTTTCTCAAGGTGCACACGGGCATGTTCTTGCCGTCGCAGCTGCCTCTGCTGCGGGCAAAAGCCGACTTTGCAAATGCTCGGTCAACTATGTCCCAAAATGTATTGTGCGAATTCAACAATATGGTCGTAGGTTTTACGGCTTGAGCTCGAGCGGAGCCAAAGAAGACTTGGTGGATGGCATGCTCAAGTTCAGCGCCAAGCCACTGCACACGTCCTTGACGCAGCTACCTCCTGCTGCTACGCGCGACGCGATCCGCTGCTTCAAGGCCATCCTTGGTACTGCATACTAGTATTCTCATTCTGCTGTGCGGTGCGAACGACAGTACTAGGCTACATGGGTCTGCGCCGGCAAGGGACACCGGAAGAGCTTGTGAACGAGCTCATCGTGAAAACAATCGCACAGCCAGAGCTGCGCGCAGAAGTGTATGCGCAGATCCTCAAGCAGCTCACAGACGTGCCGAGTGACAGCTTGCGGTAGCATCGAGGTGCTTAGCAATGCGTCTCGTCACCAGGAGTCGTAGGGACAAGGCGTGGGCGCTGTTGATTGTGGCGCTCGCCCATGTACCGCCCCCGCCCGTCCAAGAGAGCTACGTCGCCATGTTCATCCAAGCGCATGCCCCCAGTGCGTGGGTCGACCACCTCTTCCTCATGCTGCACCAGCGCCTCGTGCATGGCGCCCGTCGCGACGTTCTGGTTCCCGACGCGATAGCCGCGCTCCTTGATGGGTTCCACGGTCCATCGCCAAGCCCGCATCCAAGCCGCTTGTCGATATCGGCGGGGTTCCTCGGTTCGACGCCGTCGACCCGCGTGCTATACGCCTTCCAAGGCAACGCGGACGATGCGACGTTGACGGTACGATCTACACGTCCATATCGTGTCTCTGAGGTTGTGCTGCGTAGGTCAACGCCGGCGACGAGGTGGTCGTTCTCGAGGGGGCGCTTGGCGCGCCGTGGTGGTTTGTGCAGTTCGGTCATGTCGGTGGGTACGTGCCCGCGACGTATCTGGCGCTCTACACAAAACAAATGCAACGCGCGCTGCTTGTATAACTCAATATATGAAGTCGTCGATCGTCACTTAGCAGCAGCCGTCCGACGTCCGGTCGGCGTGGTCGTCCAGTTTGATTTTGCGCTCGTTGGCCACGTCTAACCGGTCGCTCTCGCACTCGGCGAGGCGCTTCTGCACGTCGACCGCAATCGACCGGAACGCTTCCTCGACGTTCAAGTTGCTCTTGGCGCTCGTCTCGAAAAACTGCACGCCGTACTCGGCCGCGAGCTCTTCGCCCTGCTGCGTCGTCACGACCTAATCAATGCCACCGCGCATCAGTCCATTGGCCGAGCGTCGATGGGCCGTACGCGCTCGGACGGGTCGACGTCGCACTTGTTGCCAATGAGAATCTTGTTGACGTTCGGGCTCGCATGCTGCTGGATCTGCCGCATCCAGTTGCGCACATCTACGAGCCGATGAGCCATCACCATGAGCATCACCAGCGCCAGCGAAGCGTACTCTGGAACGAATGGTCGTCCGTGACGTCGTACACGAGGAGGATGCCCATGGCGCCGCGGTAGTAGGCTATTCATAGCGTCGTCCTCGAGGTTGCTGCACGATGATGGCATGGCGTACCCGTCGTGATGGTGCGGAAGCGCTCTTGGCCGGCCGTATCCCAGATCTGGAGCTTCACGCGCTTCCCATCGACGTCGATGGTCTTGACCTTGAAGTCGATCCCGATCGTCGTGATGAAGGACGACGTGAACGAGTCGTCCGAGTAGCGCATGAGAAGGCAACTCTTCCCGACGCCTACATGGGCTCTTCCTGCAGCCAAGACGAGGAGGAAGATGGAGGGTACCGCTGTCGCCGATGAGGAGGAGCTTGACGAGGAGGTCGTACTTGGAGCTGTGGACCATGCTGCTGCTGCTGCTTGCTGTCGGCCGAGGGGTTTTCGCACTCCCTTCGCTTTTCGTTTTTAAGTTTTATCGAAGCGTGAAAAAACACGCTTCTTCCGTCCCTATACTTGCTGTTTGTATATCCAGCGCGGTGGTTTTTAAAAAGACGTATTTTAATTGCGGCACTGAATTCCACGAGCAGTGGCCATCGCGTCGACTAAACGTTATGGCAGCTCCGAGTTTAGTTAGTCGGTCCGAGGCAACGACCGCATGCACAACCACCATGATGCGCGATGGCGCTTTGTGCGGCAATGCTACTCTTTGTACAAGTGGAGACGAGTCATTTTGGATGGAGCCAAGCACCAAGTTGCCATGCGACACGTCCGCAGCGACGTGCAGATCCACCATCGCCGTGCCTCTATTTTTGATTGACATGCATGGCCGAAGCCGAATAGCGTCGCGTCACCGGAATTGAACCCGCGCTCATTTGTCTGCAATGATGGGAAATATGTGGAAAGGCGAGCAATGGTTACGTAAATTAGACAAGGACACCAGCGGTTTGGAGGAGCGGCACGAGCTTGCCGTCGCGCTGGAGCTGCGCGACGTCCGAGCCGCCGCCGATCGTCACGTCCTTGACAAACACGTTGGGCACCGTCCGGCGGCCCGTGAGCTCAATGAGCGCTTGGAGGATTTCGTCGCCATTCGGAACAACGTCGAGCTCAATCACGTGGTATGGCGCGCCGACTGACGCCAAGACCGACTTGGCCTATTGAGATTGCACTTTGACATTGCCCTTTGAGTTGTTGGGAGGCTACCTGCGTGCAGTACGGGCAGTACGTCTTGCTAAAGACCGTGACGCCGTGCGAGGCGAGCGTCGCCTTGACAAACGTGTGGGTTTCGGACGAAGCGACCATCGTGTTGGAGGTTGGGAGCGAGTTGAAGAGTGGCCACACAAGACACAATGTCCACGAGCTATGACCACCGTGGTGGATTCCGATTGGTCCGCTTTCCACCAATCAACGAAGCGCTTACAACTCGCGAATCTTCGCCCAAACCGTTCGCGGCCCTTCGCGGAACCTTCCAGGGACCCGGTTTACGCGCCAAATTTGTTTCCACCAATCTACCGAAGTCGACGAGCGTCCAAAGACAAGATGTCCGCACCATCGTAGTCACGCTCGTTGTACGTTCTCGCGTCGACCATTGCTTGTCGCCTCCTCATCGTCCTTTCTACGGCATACCAGTACTATAAGTATAGTAGCTCTTTACGCCATTTCGACGAGGGCCCCACGTCACACCAAGTGCCAACATCTTACAAAGGAGCGCAACACGTCATCGACAACGTCATCGTTATGAGAAGAGATGCGCCAGAAACGTTGGCACTCTAGTGATTTCGTCTATCACGTTATACAAGGGTCACTTAGAGCTTCTCCGTGTTGAACAAAAACGCGTTGCCGTCCGCGGTCCGCGTGCGCACTTGGGTCTCGTAGTCTGAGTTGTTCAAAATGGCATCGACCGCATCCGCCGCGTTCGAAATGATGCGCCACGTGTCGTACTGCCCGCGCCGGAGCTCGACAATCACCTCAAAGATCGGTGCACCCCCGCGCTCGGCCACAACCTTCCGCAGCGCGTCGCCATCGTTCTTTTGCTGCTGCTCCTTGGCCGTCTTGTCGCTGAGCGTCACATTCTGAATGCCACCAACGAGGCCTCGCAGCGGCTTGTTCTTGAGCAACTTCCGGAGGTCGCCGTGCGCCGACGCCACGATGCGCACGCCGCGCTGCTTGCACGTGCGCGCGGCCTCGACTTCGTTCGGGCGACCAATCTCGTCAATGACCATGACCTCGGGCGTGTGGTTCTGGACCACTTGGACCATCACGGCCGCTTGCTTGTCGAGCGACGGCACCATCATGCGCCGCGCCAGGCCCACGCACATGTGCGGAATGTTGCCGTCACCTAGACATTAGAGCGTGGTTAGGGTCCTTTGTCTATACTTTAAAGGTGAAGAGTGCTACCTGCAATCTCATTGCTCGTGTCGACGATGCAGACGTTGTACTTATTGGCAAGCTGCCGAGAAACTTCGCGGACGATCGTGGTTTTGCCGCAGCCTGGTTCGCCGAGGAAGAGGATGTTCTTGTCTTCCTTCGCCAAAATGTCGGCAATCAAGCTCGCGTTGCCCTCAATGTACCGGCCAACGCGGATCGTGAGACCGATAATCTCGTTCGACCGGTTGCGCACGGCGCTAATACGGTGCAGTTGGCGCTCGAGGCCGGCGCGGTCGTCGCTGCCAAAACCGCCGACGCGGTCGACAATCAGATCGAGGTCGTTCTGGCACACGACACGCGCCTCGTCATGGGGCAAGAGGAAGAAGCGCGCGCCGTTGACCCACGCCCACGGCCGGCGCCCGAGGTCCAACACAATGTCGAGGAGGTGGGCGGCCACGTCCGGTGGCTGGAGCGGCGCCGCAAACTCGGGCGGTAGCAGTGCAAAGACGTCGCCCATGTCTTCGTGGACCACGAGCGGCGTGCTTTTCGCCAAGCTCGACGGCCGCAAGTGGTGCAGCACCTCGTACGACGCAAACTTGTGCTGCTGCTTGACATCAAAGCTCAGCGTGCGGACGCCCTTGGCCGCAATGGCGTTCGTGACGCGCTCCATCGACGCAGCATGCCACAATATGCTTTTGTCAGCAAACGTCTTACGCACAGGCGCAGCTACTTTGAGGAGAAAGTAGGATGTCCACATCGCTGCCCGAATGGCATCGTCCGAGCGCGGACGCTCCTTGAACGCTTGGAGGTAGCGTGGATACGGGTGCGACTCGAGGTTGTGACGCGACAGCATCGACGCAAACGACGGCGCATACTCCTTTGTCATCACTTCCATGGCGATCTGCAGATCCAAGACGGCCGCGAGTGGCGGGAGGGTAAGAGACGAGAGAGCAGCACCCATGCGGTGGGCATCAAAGATGATCTTGGTCATCGTGGTCGACTGCAGCAGTGGACTCAGCTGCGCGACGAGGTCGTCCAAAGGAATTTGCTCGCAATCGATGAGAACGACAAAATCGGTCATGCCGAGTTGCAGCTGAGTGTTGGGAAATGCAGGCCCAACGATCTCGAGCGACATGTTTCCCTTGTACGTGGCGAGCCGTGCGACATCGGGGAGCTTGTCAAAGCCACGCCGAAGGTCGTCCAGCGTACTAATTACGTACACGTGCTTCCAGTCCATGGAGACCGAGTGGAGCTCCAGGGCCGGCATGAGCTGGGACGACGGCACCTTTGGCACAACGACCGGTGCGCTCGGTTTCGCAATGACTCGTCGCACCGTTGAAGTGCTCGCTGCTTGATGCGAATCGACACCATGGGTGCTGGCTCCGAAGAACGGTTGAAAAGGCGAGGATGACGAAGGCGGGCGGGACCCAACGCCGGTTGTCTGCGACTCACGCGCGCCAAACGCAGAGAACGCTGGCGCAGCGCCACCCAAAGGTGTAAAGCTGGTCGCGCCGTTGGTCGTCGCTGACGTCGACGAGCTAAAAGGCACGCTCGTGGCTCCTCTAGATTGTTGACCAAAACCAGCACTGGTCGTCGACGAAGATCCGCCAAAGAAGCCTGTTCTTGGTGGGTAGCCAAGATAGGAATGAGGTACCGGCGTTGCGGTCGCACCAAACGAAAAGCCAGATGTCGAGCTGGAGGAAGCTGTGCCGCCAAACGAAAATGACGACGGCTGCCTCGTTGTCGGCGCGGACGACGAGCCAAACGAGAATCCGCTGGTCGAAGGCGCCGAGGATCCGAATGAGAAGCCGCTGGTCGAAGTCGCCGAAGAAGCCCCGAATGTGCTGGTCGAAGGCGCCGAGGTTCCGAACGAGAAGCCGCTGGTCGAAGTCGCGGAGGCCGCTGCAAACGGGTTGTTGGCTTGGCCACTGGGCGGCGACGCGCTTTGTGAGGAAGCAGTGACCATGTGGGTGTCGACAAACGGCTTCTTCTCGGCGGGCTGCGGCACAATCGTGGCTTGTGCGAGCGCCGCCTCCTTGTCGGTGCGCTTGAGGTAGTCTTCAAAGCGCAGCTCTTCCACCGACTTGTGCGCATACGCATCCATCATCGAGATGGACTTGTAGCCGATAATCAGTGCCGGCTGGCCTTTCTCGCTCTCGAGCAAGTACGTCATGCTGTACGCTGGCTTGGCCGTCCCGCACTGAACGTTGCGCGTCGACACGGTCACGGCACATCGCTTCATCGCGTCGACCACGTCGGAGGTGGGTGCTTCCGGCGCGTCGCTGCCAGCGTCCTTGTCGCCTTCACTGCTACCGTCCTTGTCGCCGTCGCTGCCCGCATTATCCTCGTCGTGCTTGCTCTCGCCGCTCTCACTGCGCTCAGAGGTGGCGGCGGTCGAGTTGCTGGATCCAGTGTTTTGGGCAAAGTAATTCGCGTACTGCTGCGCGATATCTCGGCCGCCAGTGCGCCCATGGCCTCGGCCGCCGCGACCACGCCCATGCCCCCGTTCTGTCCACGACATTTTGAAAACAGCTGGCGGCGACCATGCACGCATACACTGTTTAGAAATACACTGTATTTGTCATGATTCTCATGGGGTTCCACGAGGCTGGCAAAACGTGGCACTTGGAAACGTCCGCGTGAAACAAAAGAACGACCACCATGTAA